TATGCCCCACTGACAACTGCGACGTTCGTCAAAGATCGCGGGCTCACACGCCGCGTGCGACGGCTGCGACGTGACCTAGTTTCGACGGACGCGCGCAACGAAGCACACCCGGAAAGATTGAATCTCGGTTCAATCGTGAACGGAGCTTTTCAGTTGCTAAACTGCATCTATACTCATTTGGACAGTGAAAACAGTGACAAGTACACTGGCTAAGCTGTACAGGTCCCCTATTGTGTATGGCAAACACGCGTTCAAATGTTACTGTGACTCTGAATGAAATGTTGAGTCAGAGCAGCCCAAAATGCATTGACCAACGTTTGGTCTCTTATCACTTTTCGAAGTTATGACGATTCATCGACGTCTATAGGATAAGCCATGCGTTCGACTCTCATATAGCGCTGCAAGGCTCACGTGAATATTTATCCCTAGACTAAGCTGAAAAGGATTGCTAATTTCAAAGCAGTGTTTCCAGAAATACTACCATTTGGCCTACGAAAAATTCATAGGTCCGATTCGGTTAGTCCTCGAGATGGACCTTTTAGCCGCTGCTTGACATTTCTTGTCGGATAGATTAGTTTCTCTAGCAAAAAAATTCATTGATTGTGCACTAGTTCGTCGACTGGTTTGCGGATATTCCACATGAACAAATCTCTTTGGATAGGCCATGCATCTTGACCAGCACTCTTAATAGTTGAAGTGTTCGGAAGGGTATTCGATCTGTAATTTGCAAGAGCAGTCGATGTACTTTGTGACAGTTCATTCAATCCTTCAAACGAGGCCGGTTTTGAAGAACCGGATTCTACGATATGAAAGGAACTTTTGCAGAAAACCTGCAAAAAGGACTATTCCTTGAACTTCAAAAGATTTAGTAGGTTTTTTTTGGGATTTTCCGTCTCTCCTAAGAATTCCAATGTAATAATCTGTTCTGACATCTGCCGATCACTGCCGATCGAAGAATGTTAATGATAAGAAAGGTTCAGTGCGAACATAATCTAATCATACGGTACGTAGACGGACATATCATCGATATGATTGAATCACAATTAGCGGAAAAAGAATCCGCTCAGGACCCGTTCCGACAACTCTACTACGTGCACACGAGCATACATCTACCGTACACTGGTCATGACTTATAGTGAAATGACTTGGAAAAAACCTAATCAAACCGAATCAGTCACACTGGCCAGAGGGAAGAACCCAAGTTGGTTGATTTCAATGAGAAAAAAGTTGCTTTGCTAGGAAGTTCTTCATTCCGCAGCATTTGCTGTGCAATGATGGTGTGACTGTTTTTCTTTTCGAGTAAGGAGAAACTGCATCACCTTCCCGGAACTGTTGAGGCTGAGAAAATGGGAAAACCCAACCCAATGGGAAAATACCCAGAGAGCCATGAATGCGACTTCTACATGTAATTCTAAAAAGGTTCGAACGAGTGTCGTGGGCCCATGTGGGTATGAACAACTGAGAAATGCTTTCGCAAATTTTTCAGTTCGTCTGAGGTGAGGGCTGGATCCACCTACATACCTTCGACGCACAGCTTTGGGATTTCCATTGTGATACGAGGTTTTACGGAAGACTCGATGGCAAAGTCGCGGGCTATGTACATCTCCCCCATTCCCTCCCTAAGAACCGCTGGCAAATCTATTTTTCTTCATGATTCTGAATTCACGTCCAATGTGTCCTACAGAGTTCAGATTGATAGTTCCTGGTGATGGATCTGATCAGAGCTAACTGAAGCCGACCAAAATAAAATAACTCACATGTGTATCGCCCCATGCATCGGTGAAGTTGTTCATCATTCGGTTCTTCGCTACACCGAAATTCGCCCGAATCCCGAAAGCGATAGCAAAACCGATATGGGCGAGGATTGAAATCTGCCATCGCACTTTCCGTAAGAAGAATCGATCCTGAAAATAAGCGACACTTTCTAATATGTATTATTTTGGACTAGTATACAGTAGCGAGGGGTATCGGTAAGAGGGACGGCACGAATTTGAAACTGTACATACTACATTGGGGCCATGCCTTTCAATGGCCTATTGGATTTGCGTTTAGTACATACATCCCCTACGCCCCCTCTCTCTCTGTGCTTCCGTCAGAAAGCAATAAGATGTGACAATGGATGATAATGGCCATTAATTTGAGTCCGATAAATTGTAACATGAACACAAATCAAAAGATCAAAACGTGCCGACTTTGGCCAATTGGCTAATGACCCGGCTTTTGTTGAATTATAGTCTCGGGTTTCACGAATTCAGAGAACATTCACGAACAAAGCACACAATGACTACATCGGCGGAATTGCTGTGTAACAACAGTCATCTATAATACCGTATCAATTCGAAGATCGTTCATCAGATGAAAAAATCAAGGTGATTGGGTAAAAACGATACTCTGGACAGGAACTGAGGAATTTCCCTCGTGGGACTCCCTAGATTCCCTCACGATTTTTTAATCTGCCTACTACTTGCCGTTTTTTGCTTGCTCACTTGTTGATTTATATGATTTATATGATGAGGATATGAAATAGCTAATGTGAGCATGGGACCTAAAAGTAACCTCCCTAGACTGCTAAAGAAGGATGATGTGAAACAGATTAACAATCCTGTCGGTTCATGGGAATTTGGCTTTTAGATTAATCTTTAGTTCTACGTGCTTTATCAGTGTGTCGACCCCTGCCCCACATGGCCCCCTACCTTTGAACTGTGGACCATAAGCTTTAGCCTTGGTCACCTTGGGCCGAGCAACTGGCAAAAAGACCTGCTTGACTCTTGAGGTGCTTCAGAAGGAAGACTTTTGGAGTCATCCGAGTAATCTAAACGGATTTTTTTAGCTCTACTGAAATTCCCCCAATCCCTTATTAGGATGATTAACGTGGTTATCATTTTCAGAAGTCAGCAAGGTGGGAGACGTGTTTTATGTGGGTAAACACACAAGGACTGTTACAATATCGTGCGGTGGGTTACAATAACGTGGGACATCATTGTAATGTAGTGTTGATGCCACTTTCACACTTTTGGCTGCAACATCATTGTATGGAAGACGGAATGAATGAATATCGATTGGTAACGCGTTGAATCAATATTCATTACTCAGCACATGCTTTTAAATTAAGGGTTGAGACATACAAGCGATGATGTTTCCGCGACTTCTTGAAAGTTGTCGCTCCAATAAACGATAAATAAATGTCGGTAATGGTGTATGTAAATCAACCTAATTACTTTGGACATTGCTAGGGCCAAGCTTGTCACATTTTTTGGATTCATTTCAAAAACTTATCTGGGTTGATAGGTTCTAGGAATAGCGATAGAACAACGGCCAGGTTTTTCCGCAAGTTTTAGAAATTCCAAACCTAGTTTCGACAAGGTTTAAGTTTTTTTTAAATTTAAATTAGGTCACATAGTGGATTCTGAGGTCTTCAACTCGAGGTCGTCGCAAAATCTCTTGTTTTCTCCTTTTTTTGCCATATTCCAATCATTCTCGCTTTACCTATGCCAAATGACTGGCTATCCTATTTTGTACAATACAAGTAAGATCAAAAGTACCATGATTGCTGGTCATCACTTTCAAGTCAAGAAAGAAAGCAAATTTGGAGCAAATTTGGACGAGAATGGTGGGAATTCCAATTCTTCAAGAAAATCGGAACATGTATCGATTCCAAACTGTGAACTGTAGAGTGCAATTTCCTTTTTTCATTTTTTTTTACCTTTTTTACTTTTACTTTTCTTTTACTTTTCTATTAAATTTCACCCGATGTTACGGATTTAATCAATGGAATTTGCAGTAGGAACTTTTGCAGTTGGCCTCAAAATCAGTGTCAAAAAAATAGTCAAATTTTATTATTTCTCTATTGTACAATCAACATCTCCCACACCCTGTCATAACTACTTGTGGAATGCCTTTACTATTCTACTTTCCTTGATTCCTTTAAATTAAAATAATTCATTTAGAAGTACTTCTTTGTCCAACTCTGTTTTTTTATTGTTAGTGAAAGGTTCTCCTAATAACATTAACCCGCTTTCCTGAGGGTTTAGGTGCGAAATCATCTGAACCCCTCTACCGACTTTCCCTTGGAACCTTTTATCACTGAACAACAGCTATGTAAGTAACCCCTTGAGATGAAATTAAGATGTTTACCAGACTGATTCTCAGACAGTTAAATCTGTAGATAAGCTGTTGCGGAATTATGTTTTTGTTTGTTTAGTAAACTTTTGGTAGTTTTCCGATGACAGTACGGCAATATTTACTGATCAACTATCAGAAAGATTTCTTCGAGAATACACAATCACAAAAATCAGTCATCTAGCGTATGTTTGATGGTTGATGTTTGATTCGAAAAGCATCGTGGAATACCCAATTGTGTAGAAAGCTTTTCCCATATTGAAAACTGTTGTCAATACTATAACATATTGATGGAAACTTATGGTGAATAGGCTGGAGAATGACGTCGATATGATGTCAGAAAAGCAAAATACTCAAAGATTGAAACATCTCATGACACATATTTGTACATACTCTAACCTGTTCTATAAATATTTATTTACTTGAGTGTTTTCGGTAATTTTTTACTTGAGGTGATCTGATCACAGCGAGGACCAGCCCCGATTGACGTTGATTTTTCTTTATTTCACAGTTCTTAAGCTCGATCTAGGGTCTAGCCAGTTACAGCAGATTAATTTTGTAACGATATACGCATCTGGTACAGTTAAAAAAGTAAAATGAATTCTGGAGATTCATGAATAACTTGCACTCTATAACCAAAAGTACACTGCACAAATCACCTGGGTAGGTAGAGGAAAAGAGGCTTCTATAAAAGGGTACCTACCCGAACTGGCACATTTGCAAAAACAAGTCACACACAGGATAGGAAAATATCCAAACTCGTACCTTTGGAAATCAAGCAACAGAATGGGAAGGTTCCTAGAAGGATGCGGAATTTCCTTTTTGACTATCAACTTCACTTCATCCACTTTACTGCTGAGTATTCTTGTGGTTTAGGGACTCTGGGTATTTAATGGTAGAAGGAAGACCCAGACCAGATTTTTATTTGTTCCCAGACATCTATACATTATAACGAATTTACAGCAAGTCTCACCCATACGGCGTATAATGATATTTACGATAGTCCGATGGGAATGCACCTTTAGGTCAAAGTCGTTTAAATTTTAAAAGAAATATAATAAAATTCGACGAGTTCTCTGAGATCTGGTTCTATGTATGGTTGTTTGCCAATATTCTTACTGTAAAATCCATAGATTAGACCCGTAACAAGTGATAAAAATAGAAACCAAAAAATGAAATTTACCAAAAGGCTCAAAAGTCACTACAATATTTGATCGGGCCGTTTGTTTCCTGGTTCCAGTTGATAAGACCTGACCTCGCAAAACACAAACATATATCAAAAGATTAAAACGATTCTGAGCTGCTGGGAGGTTCTATTCCACCGTGTGGGTCATACCGTTACAGACTACCACTTTGAATTAACCTTATATGATACTGACCGTTTCAACAAGTGTGTGTAGTTGTTCGCGATGTTCCCATTTCTTTGTGGAAAACGTCCGTCGAACTGAGTTCGACACCAACTCGCCCGCTTTTCGAATTG